TTTTTGGAGTGGGAACTATGACCAATAATGGACCGATCAGGGCAAAGATTAATAGAATAATTTATATGTACATAAAACATATATAAGTCGAATTTTATCCCTATAGCTTTAGAATTCAATGAAATATATGCGTGTGTATGACCAATTACGGGCCTATCCGGAAAAAATTTTGTAGAATAATTCATATATAGACAAAATATATTTGTGTCGAATTTTATCAAGATTGCTTTATTTGACAATGAAATATGTGGGTTTAAGTGATTTCTGGAAGTGGGCCTTATATGGGAGCTATGACCAGTAATGAGCGAATTTTATCCCGATAGCTTAAGAATTCAATGAAATACATGTATATGCGTTCAAGTGATTTTCGGAAGTGGACCTTATATGCAGTGTTGCCAATTTAGCTATTTTATGGCTAAATTTAGCACATTTCAACCTGGTTTGGCCATCAAAAAATAAATTATGCCATTAGCCATTTTTATTTTCATTTAGCCATATTCATATTTTACTAAAAATATACATAAAAATTATCTCACGGAATCGCTAGAATTAAATCGCTCTTATTATTCAAAATTGCAACAATGTAACACTTTATTATTGTCAAAAAATGCAACAGTGTTATTTTTTTAATAGTAACATTTGGAAAGTGACATTTGATAAAATTTATTAATTAGTAAAAGTTAAGCCAAAAAAGTGCACAAAATGGACAAAAAATATACTCAAAAGTTTCGAAAAGAATGGATTAATAATCCCAAGTTAAAAGAATGGATCAGTGAATGTAAAGATCCAGAGAAAGCTTATTGTAAATATTGTAAATGCGAAATAAACGCAAAGTTATATGTGCTGAATGTTCACGCAGAGAGTAAAAACATATCAATGCAGTTGAACGCATTGGTTCTACCAACCAACTGCCCTTTAAACCAGTCAGTTTGAAAATACAACAACAGGAGGCTTCATTGTGTATGTTTTTAGCAGTACATGCTTCAATTTCAACTGTCGATCATTTGGGAGAAGTCTGCAAAAATCGACTGGAATGCTCATCATTAAAACTTCATAGAACTAAGTGCACCAATATAATAAAAAATGTTCTTGGCCCCCACTTTGACGATGAACTGCGTAAAGATATTGGTGAAGGATATTTCAGTATTTTAATAGATGAATCTTGTTCAATGTGTGTGCCATTCTCTTCAGCTGGCTGTGAACCAGTCTCTAAAAGAATATTTACCTGAGCAATTAGAATTCCTTGTTTATGAAACCTACAGCTGGTTCCCTAAAAGTTCCAAGAGACAAGTTGTTTACAAAAATTTGTACAAAAATCTAAATGAAAAGGTAAAAACTCATAACTTAAAAAATTTTCTATATTATTAAATATGTATGTATATTGTTTTTTTATAGGACTCATTGAAACATCAGTTTCAAGAATATTGTCGCAATGGGAGGAGCTCAAAGTGCATTTCGAAACAGCATACATGGAAGAAAAATATCTAAAGGCTAAAATCTTATGTGAATTATACAACGAAGACAATATTCGTCTATATTTGTTATTTTTGAAACCCATTTTACTTGAAGTCCAACTAGTCAACAAAATTTTTCAAGGCCATGACAACAATCCAACTCGCCTATTAAAGGAATTATTATTGCTGATAAATTTTTTGAAACGCAAAGTAGTTGGTGACGACAGTGTAGACGTTTTATATTCAGATTTCGACGAATTTATTTTATACACATGCAGCCTTGGTCATGAGTTTGAAACATATCTTAAGGAAATTAAAAAAACGGAAACATGAAAAAGAAGGCAGAACGTGAAATTAGACGAAATTGTGTTAAATTTGTTGTTGATCTCATAAATCAATTGAAACAAAGGTTTGTATATATCAATTCATAAATATTATTTTAAATTAAAATTTTAATTACTCACACTATTTTGCAGGTTGCCCGATAATATTAAAATACTTCAAAATATTGAATATTTCTCTGTAGATAACGTCTTAAAATCTTCCAAAGAGGATACTTTACCAATCCTAAATTTATTTCATGTTGATGACGAAATATCCTTAAAAATTCAGGAGCAATACTCAAATATCCATTATATAAAATGGAAAAACACAAATAACACTATTTTATTTTGGACGGAAGTATATAAATATATACTTGGCGGAAATAAAAATGGTGAAAACTAACTTAAGAAATAAAATGCATCTATCAACCGTCACTTCGATTTTGTCTATCAGATAAGGGTGCTAAAAATAATGACTCCATTGTAATTAATTTTTATTTATTTTGCAGATTTGGACTTAAAAAGATCGATAAATGCTGTTTTGAATACGACGTACCGAATAATTATTTAAAACTAGTTGGTAACAGTGAGTCTTATGACAAAAATAATAATATCCCAGATTTTATAGACGATTTATTTCTTTAATGCTAATTTTTTGTACAAATATTGTAATAAGAATGATCTCCTATTTACAACATAGTGGTAAAAAATAAAAAAAATTAATCGTTTTTGATGTTTTTTAATAAAATGTATGTGTTTTATTATCTAAAATTGTTTAGCCATTTTTCAGCCATTTCTTTACACGATTTTACCCATTTTTGGTCACCACGAGTTGGCAACACTGCTTATATGGGAGCTAAGACCAATTACGGGCCTATCCGGAAAAAAATTTCGTAAAGTGATTCATATATAGACAAAACATATTTGTGTCGAATTTTATAAAGAAATATTTGCGTTTAAGTGATTTTCAAAAGTGGGCCTTATATGGGAGCTATGGCCAATAATGGACCGATCCGAAAAAATTTTGGTAGAATGATTTATATGTACAGAGAACACGTTCAACTTACCTATATATTTAAGGGAGTTATTAACGATAAACTAATTTCCGAGATTGGGGGCTATGGGAAATATTAGATCAATTATTATGATTTTGAACGTACTTGATCCCTGGAAGAAAAAAATAATGTGTGACAAAGTTTATCGAAATATCTTTGGTAGTTTCCAAAAAAACTACTTAAGAATTGAGAAAAAAACGTAATTTTTTTCGAGGTAGTCTGAAATTTTGACTCATAAGTTTTTACGTCGTAAACCGATTTTGCTGATTTTCAATACCAAACTGTACCGGATAATAAGGAATGTTTTAGGTGAATCTCGTACATTTCTATTGCTTCGTTTTAACGTGAGCGTGTTTTACACAGACAGACGGACGGACAGACATAGCTAAATCGACTCAGAATTTCATTCGGATCAAGAATATATATACTTTGTTGGATCTCAGATGAATATTTCTTGGTGTTACACACGGAATGACAAATTTATATATACCCTCAATCACCAATGATGCTGGTGAGGGTATAATAAGTACATATTCATGAAAAAATTATATTACGGTGGAGTTATTTTCAATATTTGGCCATAATGTAGCAGCCGCCGGCCGGGTAAATACCTCGTTGTTATATAAAACGTTCCGGAACAGAGTTTTTTAAGTTAATCACTTTAACTACATAGTGTATATATAAAAAAATATTGTTTAATTTGTTAACATTTAATAGATTTCAAAATTAAGCAATAATGCAAAAGTAAGCTGCCGCTGTTCGGCTAAATTCTTCATATGTGTTTCTTTATATAAAGTGTTCCGAAAGAGATTTCTTTAGTTAATCACGTTAACTACACAATGTTAATATAAAATATAAAACAATTGTTCAATTCACAATCAAGTTGTATATTGTACCTACTAAAGTGTAGTAAAAGTGATTGTGAACAGATCTTTAATGCAAGTCATAAGTCTATGTCCTCAATGAAAAAAAAAAAAAAAAAACAATCAAAACAAACATACATAACAATGTCAAAAGATAAAAATTCAAATAATATTAATTTATTTGAACAAGCGAAATAAACCAAATTAATTTCTTTGAATTTTAAGTTTTTTTTTTTTATTTTCTTTATTCCACATTTTAAACTAATAAATAAACTGTTTTTAATAAAATTTTAGTTTTTTTGTTTTGGTTAACAGCTGTCTGTTTGTGATTTACGGTTGTATTCATAAAAAGTTGTTTTAGGTTTATTAAACATTATTAGGCAAAATCCACGAAAATGGTATTCATAAACGTCAGATAGCTTAAAATACTTTCAATAAACCAATGACAAATAGAAAAAAATTATTGTACGCTCGCCCCTACTTTAAGCCAACAATAAGTTGATTTTTTTTACAAATTTTGTATCTGATTAAGCTTTTTTCATTAATTTTAGGTTGAAGACGAAAACTAGTCATGTTTTATTCTGAAATGAAATCTAAAAATTGTAATTATAACGTTTACAAATTTGTAAATAAAATTCCAGATAAATTTTAAAAGCAGCCGCCGGCCGGGTAAATACTTCGTTGTTATATAAAGCGTTCCGGAACAGACTTTTTTAAGTTAATCACTTTAACTACATAGTGTATATATAAAAAAATATTGTTTAATTTGTTAACATTTAATAGATTTCAAAATTAAGCAATAATGTAAAAGTAAGCTGCCGCTGTCCGGCTAAATTCTTCATATGTTTTTCTTTATATAAAGTGTTCCGAAAGAGATTTCTTTAGTTAATCACGTTAACTACACAATGTTAATATAAAATATAAAACAATTGTTCAATTCACAATCAAGTTGTATATTGTACCTACTAAAGTGTAGTAAAAGTGATTGTGAACAGATCTTTAATGCAAGTCATAAGTCTATGTCCTCAATGAAAAAAAAAAAAAAAAAAACAATCAAAACAAACATACATAACAATGTCAAAAGATAAAAATTCAAATAATATTAATTTATTTGAACAAGCGAAATAAACCAAATTAATTTCTTTGAATTTTAAGTTTTTTTTTTTTTTATTTTCTTTATTCCACATTTTAAACTAATAAATAAACTGTTTTTAACAAAATTTTAGTTTTTTTGTTTTGGTTAACAGCTGTCTGTTTGTGATTTACGGTTGTATTCATAAAAAGTTGTTTTAGGTTTATTAAACATTATTAGGCAAAATCCACGAAAATGGTATTCATAAACGTCAGATAGCTTAAAATACTTTCAATAAACCAATGACAAATAGAAAAAAATTATTGTACGCTCGCCCCTACTTTAAGCCAACAATAAGTTGATTTTTTTTACAAATTTTGTATCTGATTAAGCTTTTTTCATTAATTTTAGGTTGAAGACGAAAACTAGTCATGTTTTATTCTGAAATGAAATCTGAAAATTGTAATAATAACGTTTACAAATTTATAAATAAAATTCCAGATAAATTTTAAAAGTTTCTATTTTGGTGAAAAAACTAAAATCTAGGCAATATTGGATTAATAGATGAATATTTGACAATATTCCAGTTGGTCAATACTATTTTTGGGCAATTTGGAAATGCCCGCCTGTCAATCAAATCATGGCCACAATCATTTTATTTGTCGTTTTCATAGTTTATTCGTTAAATATAATGCCATGAAGTAATTAAGAGTGTAAATTATATTGATTAGTGTTCTATCAATGCAAAATATCTTCTCCGGCAATAAAATGTAGTCTTTTATCAAAGAAATTTATCAGTATTTGCAAAAATTTATTAAAAACTGCTATAAAAATAAGTAAAAATAACAAAATGTGCATAGTGATGTTTATTTTGTCACAAAATATTCGTTATTCGAATACTTTTAATTATAATTAAAACAAGTTAGAGTGCTATATTCGGCTATGCCGAATCTTAAATACCCTCCACCAGCAAGCTACTTTTTATTGAAACCCATTTAACTATCTAATTTTTAGATAACTTGGCAAAATTTTTGTTTCCTTATTGAGGGTACTAACATTTATGCATATGTCAAACTAATTTTAATTATATTTTAATATAATGATTAACTGTACACAGAACATACTCATTTTGAATTTTATCCGGATATAATCATTTAATTACGAATTAAGTGGTATTAAGTGATTTTCAGAAGTATACCTTATATGGGAACTTAGACAACCTATGGACCGATCCGGAAGATAAAATCCGTAGAATGATTTATATATACAAAATATGTCGAATTTTATCCCGATAACTTTGATTGTTTATGTTCATTTGAGTAATTTTCGGAAATGGTCCTTATATGGGAGTTGTTACCAATTATCAACCGGTAAGGAAAAAATTTCGTATAATGATTTATATGCCAAAAAAAAAGAATTCAAGTCGAATTTTACTACAATAGATTTATTAATTAATGAAATATGTGCGTTTAGGTGATTTTCGGAAGTAAACTTTATATGTATAGGAGCTACGACCTTACACAAAACATATTTGTGTCGAATTTTATCAAGATATCTTTATTTGTTAATGAAATATGTGCGTTTAAGTGATTTCTTTGAAGGAGCTATTACCATATATGGAATAATCCGGAAAAAAATTGGTAGAATGATTTATATGCTCACAAAACATATTCAAGTCGTACTTTATCCAAATAGCTTTATTATTCAAAGAAATATGTGCGTTTAAGTGATTTTCGTAAGTGGACCCTCTATGGGAGCCTATACGGAAAAAATTTCGTAGAGTGATTCATATAAAGACAAAACATATTTGTGTCGAATTTTATCAAGATAACTTTATTTGACAATGAAATATGTATTTTTAAGTGATTTTCGGAAATGGGGTTATATGGGAGCTATGACCAATAATGGACCGATCCATAAAAATTTGGTGAAATGATTTAAATGTACACAAAACGTATTTTTGTCGAATTTTATCCCAATAGCTTTAGAATTCAATGAGATATATGTGTTTAAGTGATTTTCGGAAGTGGACCTTATATGGGAGCTATGACCAATTATGGGCCTATCCGGAAGAAAAATTAGTGGAATAATTCATATTTATACGAAATATATTTATGTCGAATTTTATCACGATAGCTTTATTTGACAATGAAATATGTATTTTTAAGTGATTTTCGGAAATGGGGTTATATGGGAGCTATGACCAATAATAGACCGATCCGTAACAAAATTAATAAAATGATTTGTATGTATACAAAACATATTTGTGTCGAATTTTATCCCGATATCTTTATAATTCAATGAAATATATGCGTTTAAGTGATTTTGGGAAGTGGACTTTATATGGGAGCTGTGACCAATTATGGACCTATCCGGAAAAAATTTCGTAGAGTGATTTATATTTAGACTAAACATATTTGTGTCAAATTTCATCAAGATAGCTTTATATGACAATGAAATATGAGCTTTTAAATGATTTTCGGAAGTGGGCCTTATATGGGAGCTATGACCAATAATGGACCGATCCGTAAAAAATTTCGTAGAATGATTTGTATGTACACAAAACATGTTTAACTCGAATTTTATCACAATAGCTTTATTCATCAATGAAATATGTGCGTTTAGGTGATTTTCCGAAGTGGAAAAAATAATGTGTGACAAAATTCATTGAAATATCTTTGGTAGTTTATGAGAAAACTTCAAAAGAATGATGAAAAAAACGTAATTTTTTTCGAGGT